CAGAGCAGGGCGAGCATTTGTGCGTATAAAACTTAAACTTTTTTATTTATTTTTTAGATGACCGATCGTTTCGCTAGATAAGACCCTTATTCATCGTCTGAAATCGTTTAAAGCCCTTTGAAGCTGCACTGAAACTCTCATTTGGACCTTGAACTGTTTGGTTCCCATTGAAGTGCATTATATGGAGAAAATCCTGGAATGTTTTCATCAAAAACCTTAATTTCTTTTCGACTGAAGAAAGAAAGACATGGACATCTTGGATGACATGGGGGTGAGTAAATTATCAGCAAAAGTTTTTTTAAAAGTGAACTACTTCTTTAAGTAAAGGGCCTTTTAGTATCATTCTAAAAACGTACCCCTTCAGTTCATGGTAAACGCTGTTAAATTTGACATTTTATAAAGTAAACGCAACGTTTATATTTTTAGTAATATTTCAAGATGAACACTTACTGGACTGAGGCAACTTCGGTTTATTTGACTACCCATACATCATTTTTGGTGAATTGTGATATCAAATATGATGCTTTTGAGTAATGTTGATTTGTTCGTCTCTCAATCATCATTGTGTTTGCATTGTTATGTTTTGATATATGTAACCACAGAAAAAACTACACAGCTTTAAACATAAAACTAAATATGTTCTTGCTAAGATATATTATTGGGAGATATAGAGTGACAACTGTCTATAAATTGGCCATATAAATATCAGAAAGAGCAGCAAATCCAAGCATATTTTTGCTCATATTACTGTATATGGCCCCAAAAAGCTTGAAGTTTTTTCTGACTGTTCCCTACCAGGAGAGGAAGACCAGTATTGCTGGCTTGACTTCAATTGGAGGAAAAGAGATCAAGGAAAAAAAAGTATTCCTCAGTTTGGTGGGAACCAAAGGCATGGGAATCAGGTGAGGAAGAAACTGAACTGATTCTACCACACATATACAGTTGAATTACATTGAAAATAATTTACAAAAAAAATTAAGGTTTATTGGTGCATATTGTCATACTGAACTTATTATAAATGTAATGCAACACCTTATGACAAAGAAATACTCTCTGTTGTAGCATATCGAGTGGACCGACACAGAAACCAGGCATCTACGTGAGCAACGTGAAGCCGGGTTCACTCTCTGCTGAAGTGGGCTTACAGGTCATTTCATTTCATTCCTAGATTAAACTGCAGTAATGGAGCATTGCTGTTTGATTCAACTGCAGTAACACATTTGTGTGTGTGTGTGTTTGTGTGGCTTGTAGATTGGCGACCAGATTGTGGAGGTCAATGGGGTGGAATTCACCAACCTGAGTCATCAAGAGGTAAGTAGGAGCTTGAAAAAGTCAACCGATTAATTAAGAACCTCTCCGCGTATTTAAACTGCTAATCTGTGTGTTTTCAGGCAGTGCGAGTGTTAAAGAGCAGCAGGAGTCTAACTATTACTGTCCTCACTGGAGCTGTAAGTTCACTGCCATCAGAACATCTTGAATACTATCTCGCTCAGCTGTGTGGAAATTGACATGTAATACATGGTGTAATTAATACATTGTGGAGATGTTGTTTGTATTACCCTGTTAACCTTTATGTGCATTTGTCTTTTTTATGAAACTGGTATTTTAGTCTGTAAATGTCTGAATTATGCGAATTATGAATTATGTGAATTTCTGCAAAAGTGCTGATTTGTCCACTGTATGTTTCAGGGAAGGGAGCTGTTTATGACGGATGAGGAGCGGCTGGCGGCTGAAGCACGACGCGAGCTGGAAAGACAGGAGCTGATGCATCAGAAGAGGATGGCATTAGAGACCAACAAAATCATCAAAGAACAGCAGGAGAAAGAGCGCCAGTCAGTGAAGAAACACACAACTGAACACTACACTACACTACCTATTCACACTGTATTCTTTTACATGCAAACGAATGTAAAAGAACATTTGGATGGCTCTTGCAGGATATAACTTGAGATAACATCATTTTGTGACATAAGTTTACTTATATAGGCCACATACCATATGCCAAATAGCTACAGCAAAATTAACCTCTGAACTGTCACTCCCCTTTTTACATGAAAATGCACATTTCGAACTTAAATGGTTGTAATTCAAGTATGCTTTGGAATATAGACGTAAGATTAGTCTCGTTTTATGTAGTTTTTTGTAGAAGTGAAATAAATTAAAAATGTGAAACAGAAAAAAAGTTGACCTGGGCGACTCTAAAAATGCAAAAAAATAAAAATAAAAATAAAAATAAATAAATAAATAAATCAAAACCCGAAATCTGAATAGTTTGTGTTTCAAATTTTAGGTTGATATCTCAACAAATGAGCTTTCAGTGAGATTTTGTTTGGGCGCAGTACCAAACTTTTTCACTATATTACTGCCCATTTAAGGGCACCTCCATTTCCATATGTGTTTTGAGTGATCTTAACCATTCAGACCTTTTTTTGAAAATAATTGAATGGATGCTATCTTTTGAACTCTTGGCATGAAAACAAACTGAGGTTTCTACCCTTCTTTATCACAATTTCAAAGTAAAGGTCTAAACACACATTAGGAGTATGAAAATGTTGCAAATTGATAAATTACGGCTCCTCTGTAATTTATTTTGAAAATCATGGAAAATTTTGAAAATCATCAAAATATGGAAACTTACAGAGGCGTATTGCATTCACTTGAAGAAAAAAAATCTACTCTGTTTTTCTGAATTAACGAGTTAATTTTTCATGAGAAAAAAAGTTTTTGCTCTGTTTTTCTGAATTAACGAGTTAATTTTTCATGAGAAAAAATGTTTTGCTCTGTTTTTCTGAATTAATGAGTTAATTTTTCATGAGAAAAAAAGTTTTTGCTCTGTTTTTCTGAATTAATGAGTTAATTTTTCATGAGAAAAAAAATTTTGCTCTGTTTTTCTGAATTAATGAGTTAATTTTTCGTGAGAAAAAAGTTTTTGCTCTGTTTTTCTGAATTAACGAGTTAATTTTTCATGAGAAAAAATGTTTTGCTCTGTTTTTCTGAATTAATGAGTTAATTTTTCATGAGAAAAAAAGTTTTTGCTCTGTTTTTCTGAATTAATGAGTTAATTTTTCATGAGAAAAAAAATTTTGCTCTGTTTTTCTGAATTAATGAGTTAATTTTTCGTGAGAAAAAAGTTTTTGCTCTGTTTTTCTGAATTAACGAGTTAATTCAGAAAAACAGAGCAAAAAAAAAAAATCCATGAAAAATTAACTTGTTAATTCAGAAAAACAAAGCAAAAAAAAAAAAAAATCATGAAAAATTAACTCGTTAATTCAGAAAAACAGAGGAAAATATTTTTTTTCTCATGAAAAATTAACTCATTAATTCAGAAAAACACAGCAAAAAAAAATTCCATGAAAAATAACTCGTTAATTCAGAAAAACAGAGCAAAAACTTTTTTACTCATGAAAAATTAACTCATTAATTCAGAAAAACAGAGCAATTTTTTTTTCTCATGAAAAATTAACTCGTTGATTCAGAAAAACAGAGTAGATTTTTTTTTCTTCAAGTGAATGCAATATGCCTCCGTAGAAACTAGTGATTGTAAGCTTTCAAATTATATATAGTTTGTCAAGATTAGTTTAGGTTTAGTATAGGATAATACTATTTTTAAAATGTATTGGATTTGGGCCCACCGGTGGGCCCGTGACACTTAAGAGGTAAAGAATTGGTCAAATTTTGATTCAAATCACAGACTGTCATGTGTAAACCTTGATATTAACTCACATTCTCATATAAAACAATTAGGATTCTAGACATTACAATGCACAAGAACATCAAAGAACCTATGAAACATTTTCGCAACAAAATTCTTAACTAAAAGCAGTTAAATTCTACTTTTTAACACATTTATGCAGTTTTTCTTTAACTGTGTCTTTATGATAAACATTTTAGGTAGTGTTCTCTTGTGGTTAAAAGAAAAATAAATATTCACTTGTACTTAAATACTTCTTTATTATTCACAATAATCATTCTTTATCTGTTTCTTTTTGGGAATCTGACGAATCATTACCACTGCTGAAAATTTGTCTTCACTTTAAAGACTATATTAACTAAATAAATGAGTTATTATCGAATTTATTGTTTTATATATGCAATATTTTGCAGGAGAAAGATGGAGATATCACAGAAGACTGCAGAGGAAGAAGAACGCCATCGCAAAGAGATGGAGAGGTAACACAAAACACATGTATAATGATGCCAAGCAAAAATATCTTCAAAGAAAGCAGACCTTAGATGTCAGAGTAGAGCAAAATCAATGTTGATGAAAGCAATATAATGAGAGATGGAAGTACATTCGGTTCCGTATGTCCTAAGTGACTTCTAATTTTCACAACCAATGTTTTTTTTGTCCAGTAAAATGTGTTCAAATTATATATGTGATCATGAATTTGAAAAATAAAGAAATATGACAAACAAAATGTAATGTTTAGTGCAAAGGGGTCAACTTCTTGACATTTGTGTTGATTGTGTTGATGTTCCTAACAAATATATATCAACTCAGAAATGATTTAGCAGGCTTGTCTGAATAGATGCCCATTTAATATTTGTGTCGTGTGTGTGACAGAATTGAAGCATCGGAAAGTAAGCACCACAAAGAGTGGGAAGAAGATTGGGGCTCCAAGGAAAAATCCAAATCTCATTCCCCCTCCCCTTCTCCCTCGCCCCAACCACCCACACGCCGCACACCTTCACCCAAACCCAAAACCTCCAGTAAGTTGACAGCACTATAAAACTTCTCTAGTGCATGAACTTTGAATGCCCTCAGTAAAACTACACTTTTCTCTTAATAATAAACAAGTGAGTTAGCAAACGGTACACATAATGCACCATTACTCCTTCCTCCTCTGCATGAACGGATGTGCATTTATGTTGGATGCATCATCTCTCTTTGTGTGCTCTTTGTCTTTCTGTCTATTTGCCTTTCTGTTGTGCCGTGTCTGTCACTTCCTGGTTCCATCAGCTGCTGATTCCTATGAAGAAGAGAGTGGAGAAGTAAGTGAAGTATTCATATGGCATTCTTTGACAAACTCCCCCTTTTTTAAGACGCTTCAACTGCATGTAGACTATACTCGTCTTGTTTGGTTGGATCTCTTGGTAGCTTTTGGATGAAGTGAGTTTTTGCATGACACTAATGTATCATTCTTGCTATCTTAGCGTTCGGTTGGTTTTACCGTTACGAAGGAAAGTTGCCTACACTCAAAAAGGTACATTGTGTGCTGCAAGCTTGTTGTCCTAGAACTATGGAATGTGTTGTTCATCTTGGAGATATGCATGATAGTTTGGTTGGCATTGGTGAAAAGTCCACCAGCTGTTCTCAAATCACTTTGGATATTTAGAAAGGAAAAGAGACCAAAAAGAAGAAGAAGATGTCCAAGACTGACACTCTTCCAGCCGAGAAAAAGAACAAGAAAGAGATGGAGTTTGAGCTGAAACTTGCCAAGGAGAAGGAAGAGGTTCTTGAGCGAGAGAAGCAGATGAAAATAAGCAGACTTCTGCAAGAGGTATCAGAGTTGTTCTAGTGAGGTTACAGTAGGGTTTGCTGACTTTAAAGGAGAACTCCGGCGCAAAATGAACCTTTGGTCTAAAAAAACATTGGTACCTAGTCGAGCGTTCTCTGAGATTTGTTTTCATGATAACCGAATGTAAAGAGTTTCATCTTTAAAAACAGTTTAGCGTATAATGCTAGTACTGGGGGCATTTACTAAGTAAAAAGAAATCGCTAGTTTATACCACTAACAAGACTCAAAATAGCCCCACACTAACACAGTAACATAATGAGGGTCCATACATGCAAAACGAAGCATTGAGAACTTTGCAAGTGTACAGACCGTTTAATTAGAAGATACTTTATAAGACAGTTCACTTCGTGTATACAGGCAGCAGCCATCTTGGAAAACAGTCACGACAAGTCGAACCACGAACGACGTGCTGAGTGATCTGAACTGTATGAAGTTCAGCGAACTTCTGATCTGTATGAACGGCGTTCGTGGTTCGACTTATCGAGTCTGTTTCCCAAGATGGCTCCTGCCTGTATACATGAAGTGAACTGTCTTCATAAAGTATCTTCTTATCAAACGGTCTGTACACTTACAAAGTTCTCAATGCTTCGTTTTGCATGTATGGACCCTCATTATGTTACTGTGTTAGTGTGGGGCTATTTTGAGCCTTGTTAGTGGTATAAACTAGCGATTTCTTTTTACTTAGTAAATGCCCCCATTACTAGCATTATACGCTAAACAGTTTTTAGAGATAAAACTCTTTACATTCGATTATCATGAAAACAAATCTCAGAGAACGGTTGACTAGGTACCAATGCTTTATTAGACCAAAGGTTCATTTTGCGCCGGAGTTCTCCTTTAATTGTTGTCCCAATATAATGTGTGTAAATGATTCTGTCTTCCTGGCCATTGGCCCTCTGACTGTCATTGATTGGTCAAATGTACCCATTTGAACAGAGACTAAGTTAAATTTAGCACTATTGTACCTTTGCCAATGGCAGTCCACCATATTCTCATTAGTTTATCAAAGTCTCCATCTTTGGGTGTGGCTTTACCAATTCAACTAGGTGTCAGAAACTGAGAGGGAAGATCTGGAAGAGTCGGAAAAGGTGCAGCATTGGGTGGAAAGGCTCTGTCAAACCCGACTAGAGCAAATCTCCTCAGTTGAAAATGAGTCCCCAGAGGTAAAGTCTATCAAGTTTCACTCAAGTATCCTAATGTGTGTTGGTCTTCTAGTCCATAGTTTGTTAGTTCAGAGTTCTAAGCAATTAAAGTGTACCTCTAGATGTCTCCAACCCGTTCTCCTGCCTCGACTGGTCCCACCAGGCGAAGGTTCCCAGGAGGCTTGACATTGGCCACTACTGACCTTGATGACATAAACTTAGATGATGTGGACCAGAGTCTAAGGCAGCCTTTGAAAAGACTAGCCCCAACTCCCCCAACATCCAACCAAGCTCCACCTCCCTTACCACGCCCTCCACCCTCACCCCGACTTTACCAGACATCCAACTATCGCCCTCCATCTCCAAGAACACAGCACCAAATGCAACCAAGTTCCAGACCATCCCCTCAACGCCCACCTTCCCCACCAGCCACTTGGGTACCCTCTTCCTCAATGGGTCAAAGTCGGCAACCCCCTCCTTCCCCACTGTTCTCTTCAAGGGGTATGTCCTCATCTCAGCCACCTCCCCCTCCCCCACCACCTCCTCCCCCTCCCCTCCGCCTCCTCCTCCGCCACCCCCTCCACCCATGCACATGGAAGACAAGTACCATGCAGGGTCATCCAACTATCCTCGCTCCCCAAGCTTATCCGAACAAGGGAGCAGGTTTGGGGACAATGGTTACCGACAGAGAGGGGGCTTCTACTCCAACATCCCCGGTGATCTCTCACGCCCACCCAGCCCGAAGTTTGACCGCAACTTGACGGTTAGCATAGTTAACATTTTTAGCAGTGTGTGTGAGAGTTGATAATGTATGGCATATAGGAGTGGCAATTTTTAATCGCATTGCAATTCATTCCAATTTGATTCCAAATTGATTCCATGATGCATAGTATTGCTATCTTCACTGAAGTCTGTAACTGAGCGAAAACCCATAGAGAAGTAAACCTGGTGTAATGAAAGCTGTGACAGCAGTGGTAATTCTGTTTGCTTTTCCAATCGTTTTAGAAATTAAGATGTTGCTGGCAGCAAGCTGTACATGCTTATAGGTGACGTTGTACAGTCACCCTAAAGAATTTAGAATTAGAGCCCGACCGATAAAGGATTTTGAAGGCCGATACAAATATTTTTGGGTTTTAAAATCCGATATATCGGCCGATATTTTTTTTTTTGTATTAAAAATTGTTGGATTTCACACACGTGTAAAAGAAAAGCTAAGTTTTCTGCACAAGATACGTTTGATACTTTTTCTCTATGTCTAAATGTTCACTCCTGGCAAGTCTTACTTACATTTTACAATGCAGGGCTGTAACTACAGATATGCTAGTTAAAAATACAGTAATCATTACTTTATTTAGGTAGTGGTTTAATGGCTTAATTGTGGTTTCCAAGCTTCCAATGTTAACGTTAGCGGTCTTCCACTGATGATAGTGGCATTAGCTAGCTTTGTGGTTAGCTAGTCTATGATGAGCCATAATTTAGCAATAGATAACGTCATACTGCAAATTGTAAAACATACATTTTCAATATAACAGGCCAAGGAGAGATGATTGAAGCGTGTTTCGTCCGTTTTTATTTTAGTTTTTACATATTAATTTATCGGTCATTATATCTGCCGATACAGATATTTTAGAAAATACCTAATATCGGCCAGCAGATATATCGGTCTGGCTCTGTTTTAGAATCCAAATTTATTGATTTTTATTTTTTATTAATTTATTTTTTTTACCCTCCAATTATGTCATACAAACATGCATGCCCTTGAGTTTGTTGTTTTGCAGATGTGAATACCCACTTTTAATTTCTTATTAAAGATGTTTGTTAGGATACATATCATCATTTGGGGTGAAAAGCATGTTGTTTGGTTTGACGACTTTGCAGTATGTGTGATTTCTATTTTTTTTTGGACTGTTGAAAACCTTATCCTTGTGGTCCAGGTGATGAGAAACACATCTCATGCTAGCAGGATATCCACCTCTAATAATCCACTGGTGAGTCCTTAGTTTGTAAATGAAATATGCTGCACTGGGCCTTCCGCTCCATTTTTAGCACATATCAGACTTGCCACCCTTGTTTAACAAATGTAATGCAAGCTAAAAGCAAATCAGCTTCTCTTTTTCAGCAGCAAAAGTTTTACAACAGTTCTCTGTGCTTAGATGTTTCAATAGATTACTCTGTTTTCCTGCTCTTAATATTTCAACACCATTTCAAAACGAATATAGTTGCCACATTTTTTTGAAACCGTAACTCTTTGCACTGTATTATAAATATGCACATCTCTTTTTTTATTTGTAAAATAAAAACATTTTAAAAGTCATTTCCCAAAAACGTAATTATTACTTAAAAGACAGTCTATATATGTCCTTAATGAAACTTTCCTACAATATTTTGTGTTGTGTGCCTAAAGGAGTAGTTCACCTTTAAAAAAACTTTTGCTCACAATTTACTCACCCCCATGTCATCCAAGATGTCCATGTCATTCTTTCTTCAGTTGAAAAGAAATTAAGGTTTTTGATGAAAATATTCCAGGATTTTTCTCTATATAATGGACTTCACTGGGAACCAAACGGTTCAAGGTCCAAAAGACAGTTTCAGTGCAAACTGCAAACTGTTCAAAGGGCTTTAAATGATTCCAGACGATGAATAAGGGTCTTGTCAAGCGAAACGATCGCTCATTTAAAAAATAAAAAAACAAAGTTTAAGTTTTATAAGCTCAAATGGTCGCCTTGCTCTGTTCTGTGATGCTCGTTCGTGACTCTCCTGTTCGAACTCGTTCATCAAAATGAACAAATCTTTTTTCGTGTCATTTGGTTCATTCAACGAACGAAAGGAACGAATTGACTAAATCGGGAAAAGATTAGTTCATTTTGATGAACGAGTTTGAACAGGAGAGTCACGAACGAGCATCACAGAACAGAGCAAGGCGACCATTTGAGCTTATAAAACTTAAACTTTGTTTTAAATGAGCGATCGTTTCGCTTGATAAGACCCTTATTCATCATTTGAAATCGTTTAAAGCCCTTTGAACAGTTTGCAGTTTGCACTGAAACTATCTTTTGGACCTTGAACTGTTTGGTTCCCATTGAACTCCATTATATGGAGAAAAATCCTGGAATATTTTCATCAAAAACCTTAATTTCTTTTCAACTGAAGAAAGAATAACATGGACATCTTGGATGACATGGGGGTGAGTAAATTATCAGCAAAAGTTTTTTTAAAAGTGAACTACTCCTTTAACTCTTAAAGATATATCACGCCCTGAACTTAAGTTTGTGTCCCTTACTGCTAACCTCTGCATAGCAAATAGCCCCCAGCCCCCCAACCCAGCGGAGACAGATGAACCCTGTCATGTCCAAACCTGTCATGCTACCAAGTCAGACCTCACACAGACCCACGCTCCGCTCGGAGACTATGGTAAGACAGGGAGAACCCGTGTGTGTACGTGCGATGATGATGATGATGAGGATGGTGATGCAGGCCTAAGCTACTGGATCTTTATGTCTTTGACTCATTGGTTTGATTGTTACACCAATTGCTATTTGACTCTGATTATAATTTGAGTTTTTCAAACTCGAGGAGGACCAGGTTTTACTGATTGCACTGATTAAGAAGGCAGAAAGAGAAGGACAGAAGTGGAGAGGTTAAAAGACAAATGCTTCTTCCATTTCCATGCATAATCAGATATGGATATGACAAACCTAGACATGCTGTCCTCCATCAGACTCTCAGTCCTGTTTTATCAGATCACAAAGGAACTTAACCACTTTGCCCTGTTCTTGTGCCTCCTTATTTAAGTGGATGGGTGCTTGCCAATTCTGTGGTTATTTTAGGAGGGTAGCAAGAAGGTCAAGAGAGGACAATACCTTGCTGTCTTGAGGTAGTATTCAGTCTTTCTTTATTATTGTTAAGGTGTTTGCTATAATGCATACGCCTAATTGTCTATTTTGTTCCCTCGTATCTAAAAAATCAGGTGTAATTTCTCTTTAATGATCCAGTACCTTGTAGCATCACCATCACTGCTGTTCTGAACATAATGGATTCTCAGTTCAGTCACACAGTCAGTGTCGTTGTAAATCTCACAGATGCCAAGTTAATAGGTCTATTTGCCATGCTGAGGTGAACATTATATGGCACGTAATGAGATGGTGCAAGCATTTAATGTGTTATTTTGAGGTGTTTTTAAGAGTCAGTCACAATTATGTTTGTTTCAGCCCCCAGAGATGCTCAAACGGATGGTCACGTACAACATGTCCTTTAAATCCAGCAAAAAAACACAAGTAACTGTCATCATTACTTTGCGTTACTCCCCCCCCCCCCCTTCTCTCTCTCTCTCTCTCTCTCTGAGAACACCCTGGCCCTTGAGTGAAGTGTCTGCTGTCTGTGTGCATACATCTGCATGTGAAGTATACTACATTTCTAACAAAACCCAGATACAGTGAGGAAAATAAGTATTTGAACACCCTACTATTTTGCAAGTTCTCCCACTTAGAAATCATGGAGGGGTCTGAAATTGTCATCGTAGGGGCATGTCCACTATGAAAGACATAAAAAAAATTAAAAATCTAGACATCACAATGAATGATTTTTTTTAAAGGGTTAGTTCACCCAAAAATGAAAATTAAGTCATTAATTACTCACCCCCATGCTGTACCAACCCCGTAAGACCTTCGTTCATCTTCGGAACACAAATAAAGATATTTTTGATTGAATCTGAGAGCTAGATCAGTCCTAGATAGACTGCCTAAGGGACTGGCTCTTGACGGCCCATAAAGTCATTAAAGAAAAGGTTTAAATATTCCATGTGCCTACAGCGGCTCAATTATAAGTTTATCAAGCGACGAGACTACTTTTTGTGCGAAAAAAACCATAAATAACGACTTTATTCCACTATTCCATTACTTCCTTATGGGCGCATGCGCGAGAACTGAGACGAGGACGTTCTCATTCGTCTACTTCTTGTTACCGGCTGCTCACCGCTTAGGAGTTTTACCGCCATCTACCGTATAAGATGATGATCCATATATAAGGCGCTCCGGATTATAAGGAACATTGTCGTTTTTTGAGAAGATTAAAGGCTTTTAAGTGCACCTTATAGTGCGGAAAATACGCTAATTGAAAAGCGTATGTACAGCGTGCATCTTCCTCTGCTTGTAAACAGAAAGTTTTGCGCTTCCAGCTATATCAGCACATCATCTTATACGGTAGGTGGCGGTAAAACTCCTAAGCGGTGAGCAGCCGGTAACAAGAAGTAGACGAATGAGAACGTCCTCGTCTCAGTTCTCGCGCATGCGCCAATAAGGGAGTAATAGAATAGTGGAATAAAGTCGTTATTTATGTTTTTTTCGCACAAAAAGTAGTCTCGTCGCTTGATAAATCTATAATTGAGCCGCTGTAGGCACATGGAATATTTAAACCTTTTCTTTAATGACTTTATGGGCCGTCAAGAGCCAGTCCCTTAGGCAGTCTATGTAGGACTGATCCAGCTCTCAGATTCAATCAAAAATATCTTTATTTGTGTTCCGAAGATGAACGAAGGTCTTACGGGGTTGGAACAGCATGGGGGTGAGTAATTAATGACTTAATTTTCATTTTTGGGTGAACTAACCCTTTAACTATTTATTTGTATGAGACAGCTGCAAATAAGTATTTGAACACCTGAGAAAATCAATGTTTATATTTGGTACCGTAGCTTTGTTTGCAATTACAGAGGTCAAACATTTCCTGTAGTTTTTCTCCAGGTTTGCACACACTGCAGGAGGGATTTTGGCCCACTCCTCCACACAGATCTTCTCTAGATCAGTCAGGTTTCTGAGAAACACAGAGCTTGAGCTCCCTCTAAAGATTCTCTATTGGGTTTAGGTCTGGAGACTGGCTAGGCCACGCCAGAACCTTGATATGCTTTTTACAGAGCCACTCGTTGGTTATCCTGGCCGTGTGCTTCGGGTCATTGTCATGTTGAAAGACCCAGCCTCGACCCATCTTCAATGCTCTAATGGTGTGGTCACACCGAACGTGAATTTAATTGTTTGCACTAGTAGATTACATACAAAGTCAATGCAAAGACGCAAATAGACACATCATTCGTGCCGCGCGTTGCGAATGACGCGAATTGGGCGACGCGTTTTGCCGCAAGCGTCTTCCGCGCAATTTCAAAAATTTGAACTCGAGTGGAAGATTCGCATGACGCTTTGTTGCGCCAGCCATTCAACGAAGAGCTAATCGATATGTCCGATCTATCACTGTTGTCGAAAAGGAGGAGATTCTGATTGTTGCCGTCTCTGAAATATATGATACTTTGGCATGTTTTTCATACATTTATTGTAATTAAATCACAGCAAAAACGATATATATGCTGTAGATTTATTGGTGTTCACGTTATTTTATGAAACTGGTGTCCATCCTCTGGTGCTGTGAACCTAGACACCTCGGCGTTTGGCTTTCCTCCGTATTTTGGACTTCCACAACAAGTACAGAGCATCAATACCTTTTATTTCAGACATGACGGAAACGTATGCCAGAAAGAAATTGTGTGTTGTTGTTTTTGTTGTTCGCGGATGCGCGAATGGGTTCAAAATGTTCAAGCGTCTAACTAGACGCGATAGTCGCGTATTCGACGCTCTATTCGCGTTCGGTGTGAACACACCATAACTGAGGGAAGGAGGTTGTTCCCCAAAATCTCGCTTTACATGGCCCCGGTCATCCTCTCCTTAATACAGTGCATGATCCTTCACAGTAGGGATGGTGTTCTTAGGATGGTACACATCATTCTTCTTTCTCCAAACACGGTTAATGGAATTATGACCAAAAAGTTCTATTTTGGTCTCATCTGACCATATGACTTTCTCCCATGACTCCTCTGGATCATCCAAATGGTCATTGGCAAACTTAAGACTGGCCTTGACACGTGCTGGTTTAAGCAGGGGAACCTTCCGTGCCATGCATGATTTCTAACCATGACATCTTACTGTATTATCAACAGTAACCTTGGAAACGGTGCTCCCAGCTCTTTTCAGGTCATTGACCAGCTCCTCCCGTGTAGTTCTGGGCTGATTTCTCACCTTTCTTAGGATCATTGATACCCCACGAGGTGACATCTTGCATGGAGCCCCAGTCCGAGGGAGATTGACAGTCATGTTTAGCTTCTTCCATTTTCTAATGATTGCTCCAACAGTGGACCTTTTTTCACTAAGCTGCTTGGCAATTTCCCCGTAGCCCCTTCCAGCCTTGTGGAGGTGAACAATTTTGTCTCTAGTGCCTTTGGACAGCTCTTTGGTCTTGGCCATGTTAGTAGTTGGATTCTTACTGATTGTATGGGGT